AAGTCTAGACATAGACCAAGGCCCTACAGAAATGTGGAATCTCTGCCAGGATCAGCAATGGCAAGTCTCCCAGGTAAAGCGTGCATCTCCTTAGGGATCGTCTTCCCTTTACAGTTGCCTTTTCCCCTGGGTTATACACTATAAATCACAGTTACCCCTAGTCAGATGCTCAACATGAGCCATGTACTGAACCAGACACGTCATTTACGTACTGTTACTGGATCTTTACAAAACCAGGGAGTATCATTTTGTTTATATGGAAATTCATTAACTTGTTCACAGCAACAAACATTCAAGGAAATAATAAAAATGAGACTCAGAATCAGACCATCTAATTGTAAGTAAATACCTAACTACTTGAGGATCTATCTATATATACATACCGACTTGATTCATAGCTACTTGGCAATTCACACTGAACCTTCTAAAGTGAACATGACCATTGGGTAATCTTGTCACAAAAGGTTGCTTTAACTAAAATCAAAGCTTAGTCACAGGTCAGTGATGGTTCAGTGGGAGAATTCTTGCCATTCATGTGGAGGATGTAGGTTTGACTCCCAACCAACGCATCTCGTGTATCCATCTAACAATAGAGACTTACATGATCCTTTGATGTTGAAAAGGTTCTTTCAGAGAAGTTTCAGGACTAAAAGTAGAAAGACGTGATCTACTGCTTCTGAAAATCAGCCAATGAAAACTTTACAGGCTGCAACATTTATGGACCCAAATTCCACTCAATCAAGGGGATTATGCAAGACCAGGAGGCATTTCTTTCACTGAGCATGGGCTCACCATACATCAGAAGGTGACTCCATGGCACCTGACAACATCAAAGTCTGGTTCAGATGCACCCTTCCAGTTTGCCTCACAATAACAAGCTCAGGAAGGCTTTCCAAGGCAAAAGTTGCTAACCTCCAGCCTCCACTTCTGCTACTGTCATCTCACCACTGTCACTGTCACTGTCACACACACAACTGTCAAGTGGAAACTGCTTCATATCTGACCCACCGAGCTTCTGCCGCCATAAACGGCACAGGGGTGCGTGCATCTTCCTCCCACAGGGCAAATGATAAATTCAAACCTCCAAAGAGGCATGGCAGTTGAGTTAGCAGCACAACTCCCTACAGACTACACATCCCCAGCACGCAGATCAGGTCTGCTAAAAGGGGGAATTATATTTTCACTTCCACTAAGATGACTGACTAAATGAAAAGACATCAAGCATTGAAACTAACTGAAATCCTGGCTAAAACACATCAATTTAAGCTTCTTAAAACCATCCCTGATTTTATAGAAAAGGACACATCCACTGAAGCCTAGACATAGAAGCAGCAGAGCTTCAGGGCCCAAACATGAAACCTTGGAGTTTCCTTCCCGAAGGCAGCACAGGGAGAGGAGCTCAAGAACAGGATCTGCTCAAGACAGGGTTCTTATAAAAAACCCTAAGGTTTTTCTATATTTACTGTTCAAGAGAAAGGGAGGAGGGAAATCAGAAATGACAAAAGTTATAAAAAAGCTTCAGGCCTTTTGTTCATAGAGTCACCATGAGCTGTGCCCAACTCACCAGCAATCAACAACAACACGGAGAGAATGCTTCCTTGTTCTAGTTTTGGTAGTTGTTGCTTGCCATCCATTAAACTCTGTCTATCCTATGCCATCGTCATCGGGTATTCTGAGTCTATTGCGGCAGTCACTGAATCAATCCTTCTTGCTCAGGATCTTCTTCCTTTCTCTGACCCTCAGCTTTTCTCAGCTTCATGTCTTTTTTCCAAGGACTTGTCTCTCCTGAGAACATGCCCAAAATATGCAAGATGAAGTTTTACCATCCCTGCGTCCAAGAAGCAATATGGATGCGCTCACTCCAAGAAAGATTTGCTCTTTAGACAGTCCATGATATAGCCAACATTCTTAACCAACGTTCAGCTCAATTCATTGACTTCAAGTGGTTCCAACTCACAAGGACTTTGCATTGGAGAGAAGCAAAGGCTGAAGGCTGTCCATCTTCCTCCCTCAGAACCACTGTGGATTGGAACCACCACAAATGCACAGTAGTGAAGTTAGCAGCACACCTCACTAAGGACAATGCTGTCAGAGCTCCCTTGGCACTAGCTAGGAGAACAGTATTAAACCCTCCTTAAAGATTTTTACAGAACTTTCTTGAGAATTCATCTGGCCTAAAGTAAGTGCTCATAATCAATTCATGTGGTCCGAAAACCACATTTCTTATAGCAGTGTGGTTCTGGCAAATAGACACACAATGTCAAACCAAAACCCAAATGACTCCTGCCTGTGTCCATAGCTTATAGCTGAAACAGTGAAGGAAAGAGCTTTGTCTAGCACAAACGTTCCCTCTTGAAAGGCTGCCACAAGCACTGTGCCCACATGCATTACTCCCAAGAGGAAACATCTGAAAAGTTAGTTCACCCCAATGAAATGCTCAGACATTCTCCTTTCCATCATTTTAACTTGTTCATTTTTCTTGCTGACATCTCAGTCTTCCAACTGGGAGGACCTAGGCCCCTCTATCCATGTGTCATATTCTCTTTGGGTTTTTTTTTTTACTCTCTTACCAATTATCTCTCCTCCAACCATAAACTTAAACAGTCATTATCCAACTTCCAAGATCTAAGAACTTGAGTTCAGGTCCCAGACTGAAATGGAAGTTATGTAAATTTCCTGTACCTTAGTCTTGTCACCTGTGTAATGGGCTAATAGAGCAAACCTCCTTCACAGTATTGTTGTCAGAATTAAAGCAACAATGAGTACTTCAAATTCAAATTATAACCAACCCACAGAATGAATACTTCAAATGTAAATATTATAACCAGCCCACAGTAACTGTTCAATAGATATGATTTTCTAGCCTACCTGCAAGTTGTGCTACTAATCCAACGGCCACACATCTCAAGTGGTTTTTAAATCCACCAACAGCTTCATAGGAGTAAAGTGGGCAACTCTCTCTGGGACTTAAAGCCTCAGAAGCTAGAGAATGGTCCCTATGAGTCAGAACAAACTTGACAATGGCGAGTTGAGTTCAAAAAGTGACTTTCCATTTCTTTCTAGATTAGAGCTTGACAAATCGGGCTACAGGTCAAATCCAGATGCATCACCTATTTCTGTCTTACAGTGCATGATTATTTTTTACACTTTTCAACTGTTATCTTTTAAATGATTATATTTAAAGGCCTTTTAAAAGTAAAAATATTTGCCTCTTGATCTGCAAATCTCAAAATGTACTAGGTGTTCCTTTACAAAGACTGTCTGCCAATTTCTGATGTAGATTATTGAGGATTCCAATTTATGCAGTGAAAATGTGAAGTATTCCATTTTCAAATTATAATTCTATTCACGGTTTGGAAGAAAGAGACATATAAATCTGCCTAAGTACCAGAGGTGGGGGTTTAGGAGGTGGATTATACCATTTTCTGCTTGCAATTGTCCACAATTAAATATCTTTTGCCTCACAAATGCCAATTTTACATAATAATGTTTGGAGGACAGAGCTCAGTGTGGCTCCAAGATAATATGTGGCTAAAATGAGAAAATGGCATTCTCTGCGATAGGAAAGAACAGACATCCTCAAAGCTGGGGAGCGGAGAAGAGCAATCACCTGACTGTCATATTGCTTGTTCCAAAAACTTGGTAGCAAGTTAAAAGTGAATGAACAGTATTGAGATCAAGCTGCTCCAGACAGTATGAAATAAAAGCCTCTCCATGGCACAAGCTGGGAAAGCAAATAATTGCCTGCATTTCCCATTTCTACAACAATCGAAAGTGAGAAGCTGGTGCTTGAGGTCTGGCCTCCTGGTCTCTCTCTTACAGGTGTCTCCTCACCTTCCCAGATAAAAAGGGACTTGGTTTGACCACAACCTCATTTAAAACAGGATTATCTTCAGTGGTTCAGTCTGTACTTTTGAAAATACATGTCTAACCCCAAACCAACTACCTGCCCACCATTTTTCCCCACATGCTATGGCTGATGGCAGAAGCCAGGGAGCAGTCATTGCCACAGGTAGAATAGGATTAATGTATCATTTTCACTGATATGAAAATTCTTTCTTTCTAACAGCATAATGTCTCTTAGGCCCAACCTAATTCTGTCTTCACCTTAGGCCAGAACTTACGTCCACAACTGATTGGTATCATAGCATCAGCATAGCCCTATTTTCTATGAGCCTAAGCCTTTTCCCACCAATTCATGATGAAAAGGCTGAAAGGTTGTCATGATTAAAATCTAAGCATTATGTATCTAAACAATATTAGCACACATTCACATATATGAATTGTTGTTATGCACTGTTGAGTCCACTGTGACTCACAGCGACCCTGTGCACAACAGCCCTGAACCTCGCCCTGTCCTGAGCCAACCTCATTACCTCTGACACACCTGCCCCCAGGGCCATGTTGTTGAGTGGATGATGAGAAACAGCAAAAGACACAGAATTAGAAAACTGAAGGAGCTAGCAAGCCAGCTTTGCCGCCTTCACTATTTGTCTCAGAAGCAGCCCTCAAATGAATAATACATTAGATACACGATACAGTGTCTTCCTTTGATTGTAGTCATCCATCCCTAATAATCACTGTTTCCCCTTTCCGATTATTGGCAATTACTCTTACATACAAAATGTTTTCATATAGGCAGCACTGACTCTAACTCTGTATCTTCCCAAAGGGTTTCTGCTTTAATAGCCAGTGGACAAATTCCTTTGGCACTCCATGTGCATCAAGAGTAATACTTACTGCCTCTTGTTTCCAAGCATTTCTCAAGCAAACATTTTGATACCGTCTAACAGTATCAAAGGCATGGATGGTTATGTTTACTATAGATAGTCCTATTTCAAGTAAGAATAACCATTTTTGTAGTTACATATTGCAGCTGCCAAGGCTAAAAATGTTTCCATTACAGCATACCATGCTAAATTCTTTTTTTAAAAATTCACTAAATTCTAGAGAGGACAGAGAATGCAATGGAACAGCACACGTCAAATTCAGGTACCTACTTTTGCAGTCATCTTGGCCAAAAGCTCTTGTAAATCCATTATTCCTTGCACCAGGCTTAAGAAATCACTGCAGGTCGGGCAAGCTCAATAAAGAAAATATAGAATATATATTGATTCAGTGCTTACATGAGAAGAACTTTAATAAAACAGTAGTTCTGTTACAGAGAGGGTTTCTGCTTCTTTACGTTAATGTTACACTGAAACTTGAATGAAAGCACCAAGAATTTCAGATCTGGATCTCCCTCTCACGCTTCCATAAACAAAAGAAATTAATAACTTGTTCAGTCAAAAGAAGGGTAATATAACATTTTTTAAATCCACTTTTTATAGTTTGATGGTAAAACCATTTAATTTGTTATTATAAATGAGACATTGTAAAGGGGTAAAATTTGTTAAGCAAAATTCTCCATGAAAGGCTTGAGGAAATATAGTTTAGAAGATTAGTTTCTACCACTTTCATGATGCTTAAAGTAATACGACATTATTTTTTTCCATTTTGCAGTTAATATGAGACAAAGGAAAACAATCAAAGTGAACTGGGGTGGGTAGGGAAGAAAATGTGCAACAATGAATGAATGGAGATATAAATAAATGAATGAATGAATGAATGAATAAAACTTAAGTAAGAAAAAAATTGTCCCCTTTTTATTCAAAAGTGACTGGAAAATATAAGTTTACTTAAAGAGAAGAAAGTGAGATACAGATT